TACTTTGATATTTTGGGTTAAATAAGATAATTATTACAACTTATCTTACCTGTTTCCTTTTACTTTTTTTTAGTGTGGATTACTATGAAAATGTAAGTGACATATGTGGCTCCCATTAGATTCTTTTTTTTTAATATATTTTTTTTATTGATTTCAGAGAGGAAGGAAGAGGGAGATGAAGAGGGATTAAAACATCAATGATGAGAGAGACTCATTGATTGGTTGCATGCGCCCCAACCAGGGCTGGGGATCAAGCCTGCAACCGGAATTGAACCCGGGACCCTTCAGTCCTCAGTCCTGTGCTCTATCCACTGAGCCAAACCGGCTAGAGCCCAGTTAGATTTCTACTGACAGTGCTGGTCTCTAATACGCCACTCTGTATGCCAGAAAGTATATTAATGATGGTTTGCAGGCTTCCAGGAAGTCAAGGGAGAGGCTGTTTTGCTTTTTCACAGAACTGGGCAGGGTTTTGTAATTTGTATCTTTTTAGGTTGAACAAAACTCTGAGCCATAATGAATCAGAGCGGCAGGCCATTCTCTTCCCAGTGAATGGGAGTTAGGATAACGCAGTCCCTTGGGGGGACCTCCCAAATCAAATAACAGAGCAAGTCCTCTGCCTTCGGAAAATATTCCCCCCCGAAGGTTATCTCCTCTAACCCCGCTCCTCCCCATCAGATTCAGCAGTTGCCTGGGATGGCTTTAGCCTCGGGCTTCATCATATCACCAGTGTCTAGAGAGAAATTGTTCTCTCTCCTCCTTCCAACACCAAGCCCTGCTTGGTACACTCATCCAAGAAAAGTTAGGTAATGGGATTGGAATAGCCTGTTGTTCATGCTTCCATATTGGAACGTGCATTGAGTTGTTCCTTAGGGTCAACACTGGTACTCTCATTGTCAGTGGTGTTTGTGAGAAGAGCTCCTAGTTCAGAATTTGTTTATGGCTGAGGGTATCCCACAGAATGTAGACACTCGGTTGAGGACCGAGCTGGCACTGCTGTTACTAATACAATATTGTTTACGTAGCTTAGGTGATAGACTGAGCCTGTAAACAAACCACCCAAAGTCTGTCCTGGAGAGAGGGCCTATACCTGAATCGATTCAACTCCCAAAGGTGTCCTAAGCCTTTGAACTTTGCGGTGCTTACTTATGGGTAGTTAGTTTTCCTATCTCCTTATCTAGATATGCAACAGATTCTGGTTGATGGATCATCAGATTCTGAGAGTGACATCAGGAAGGAGTGTTCTAGTATTCTTGGACTTGAGAGTCAGGTTTGAAGATTTGAGTTTGACTTGGTGTTTGTTACATGAGTCTTGTCCTTTATAGTAAGCACTAGAGACCCAGTGCATGAATTTGTGCATGGGTGGGGTCCCTCTGGGTGGCCTGCGGGGATCAGGCCGAAACCCACAGTCCAATACCGCCTACAGCTTCTACCTGCCACTCCCGCTCATCCCTGCCCCACTGCACCTGCTGCGAGCTCTTGCCCAATCAATCCTGATCAGCAGAGGCTTGCGCCACCGCAGCAGCGCTCACCAGCCCTGAGCCCTGTGTCTGGTGCCTTCCTGAAGGGAGTGGCCTGCAGGATGGGGCTGAAACGGGCTCTCTGACATCCCCTGAGGGGTTCTGGATTGTGAGAGGGTGCAGGCCAGGCCAAGGGACCCCACTATAGGTGCAATATTGGGGCTAGGGAGGGACGTGGGAAGTTGGCCAACCACATAGGGTTTGATTAGTATCCTGATCTTAACTCTGTCAGTAAATTACAGTTTAGTAATTGCTTTAAAACACAGCTCAGACTGGTTGGTTCTAGTCAAGTGATTATTCTGCCTGTTGTTTTGTTTTAGCATTTTAGCAAATTCCTGTGCTCTTGCCTAGAAGGCTTGAGCATGAGCACAAATACCCATCCAGCTAACATGTGGTACATGAACTACATTGCTGGTGTGCAACAGATCCTTCTCGGCCCCTTCTTTGAGCTGATTCTGCACACGTTTAGTTGAAGAACCAGATCTGGTGCTCATGAAGAATTCAAACTTTTCTCTTGCGGCAGCACCATATTGTTTAAGCTACCAAAGTGAACGTGGAGTGTTTTGGCACAACTACCCAAGCCTTTGAAAGAGTCCTAAGAGCGGTATCCATGAAAGGAATTACCAAGCAGCTTTCCACTTCAGCTGATGCACTATTCATGAGTTTGTCTTTGAGAATCAGAATTCCTTGTCATCGGGCCTGGCTCCTTTTGGAGTCAACGATCCACTAAATCTTTATCCTTGGAACCAATCTGTGGATTCTCTTTGTAGAAATAGCCTGTAACCAAATGTACTTTCACATTCCCGAGCTTGCCAGAAAAAAAGACACTGGACACTCCACCCCACCACCAGCCACTCAGGAAGGGAGAGACTGATTTGCCCGGCCCATTTTGTTAACCCTCTCCCCCCTCAGCATTACCAAAGGCAGGCTCTGCCTGTGAACCCTGTTATCATATATGAAAAATGAGCTATAACCAATTAAAGGGAAGCTTAAAATGGGGCTTTAGGAAATCTCTGCCAATATGCAATTCACATCCTAAATTCTAGTTTATTAGCTAGCCAAAGCCGATTTATTCATAATCCCTGTTTATGAAAATATTCTCCTGAGAAGCACGCTATAATTACTTTTTTAGTTTATGTGGCTTAAGCTCTTGTTGCTCCAAGGTACCTCAAGATGTTATGAGTGTGAGTGTGTGTGTGTGTGTGTGTGTGTGTGTGTGTGAGAGAGAGAGAGAGAGAAAGAGAGAGAGAGAGAGAGAGAGAGAGAGAGATTGTTCAAAACACTAAGTAACTGGAAAAGTCAAACCAGAGAAATGCCATGGAAATGTCAGATAGCAGGTGACAGCCTGGATTCAGGCAGAGGGTCTCACAGGCATAGAGTATCCATATTATTTAAAAAGAGAACCCACAGTTTTTCCCAGGAATAAAGATTTAGGAAATACAGGAGTCAAGCTCATGCTAGCGAGAAGGCAAGAAGTTGCATGTGAGGACCTGACTCTCCAGCAGGGGGTGGCGCTGGCCCATGGTGGGAACCTTCTGAGCTCTGTTCAAATGAACAACCTGACAAACCGTTTTAATGGAATAGCTTTTCCTCACAGAACATAATATAAACTAAGACCAAATTCAAAGAGCATTTTAGAGTGTGCGAGGTATCAAGTACAGAGCTGGTGTTTGGGGGACATGAAGACTAAACCCTGACCTGCTTGGGTGTTTCACAGGGCAGCATCCTTGCAGTCTTGAAGAGCATGAATGGGCTGGAGACAGTTTGTTCTGGGACCCTGGTGCTGCCACTGTAGGTACAGGATCTTAGGGGAAGCTATTTCATATTTCTCAGTCTTTGGTTTCTCATCTGTAAAATGGGTACAGTAATGCCTACCACTTCTTCCACCATTACTAAAACCATAGACCGGTTAAAAGACACACATAGAGGTAAGCAGTCCCATAAGGTGAATGTGCTATGAATGAGGTTAGACACAAAGGGTAAAGTGATGAATTTGGACTGGGATCAAAAGGGACAGTTAGGGAAGAAGTGGCCTTTGAGCTGAGTGTTGAAAGTGGTAAAATTGTTATGATCAGTGGGTGGAGAGGATGTGTATGCAGGGGATAGGAAGCATGCCAGGCTGAAGAAGCATAAATAATTTTTATTTAGTGAGTTCTTTTCCTTTCTTGGAGACCTGAGTTGGTCTCTGATCGCTTTGGAGATCTTCTATGTATCTTCAGGGTGTGAAATTCCAGCAGGACATGTCTGGCTGTCTGGCTTTTTTCTTTCATTCTATTCAGCATTTAGCTTGCCCTTCCGATATGAAAACCTATGCCCTTCTTCAGATCTGAGGCGTTTTCTTTTATTCTCTTCTCCCCTTACTGTCTCTGTTCCTCCATCTCTCTTAATTCTTTCCTATGTTCTCTCTTTTTTTTATTATTTTGTTCTACCTTCTTGAAGATCTCCTTGACATTTTCTTCATAGCCTACTTATTAAATTTCTTTTCTTTCTAAAATCATTTCTAATTTCCCCAAACTCACTCTTTTTTTCTTATTGCTTTTTTAATACTCCCCCATTTTTATTTCATGGATACAACGTGTCCTTAAATATGTTACAGAGTATGAACCAACTTTTCATTTTTATTTAGATCTTTTTCTGCTGACTGAATTTTCTGTTTTCTCTAGAATCATGGGCTAGTATTTTCATCTTGGTCCCATTTTGTGCTGTTTGTTTTTCTTAAATGTCTAGTCATTCTTAATATGTCTTAATGAATTAATAGAGGGATGAATAAGGAGATTTTCATCTGTGTTAATGAATTAATAGAGGGATGAGTAAGGAGATTTCTATTTGAGGAATTAATTTTCCCTTCTGTGTCTCTGCTGGTTTTGTGCTGCATGTGCAGGAGGTCTCTAAAATACAGTCATCAATACACTTAATAATATGTTGATCCAAGCAATTTGTACCTTAAAGCATTTACTGTATACCAAAGAAATGGCAAAAGTGATCTTTTAAAACCCCAAGAAAGATTATGGAATTTTATATTCCTATGAAAAGGTTTTGAAAACCAAATTTAAAATTGATGGCTCAGTGGTTGAGCATGGACCTATATACCAGGAAGTCACAGTTTGATTCCTGGTCAGGGCACGTGACCATGTTACTGGCTTGATCTCCAGTAGGGGGCGTGCAGGAGGCAGCAGATAGATGATTCTCATTATTGATGTTTCTATCTCTTCCTCTCTCTGAAATCAATAAAAACATATTTTTAATGGATGATGTAAAGAATAGCTAACTTACTAAATTGAAAATTAGGGCAACGCAAATTAACGGGGTTTATTAGACTGAAGGATGCGCAGAGGTTTCCTCTTCAGTGGTAAACGTTGCTCGCTCTTGCGTCTTGCTCTGCTCCAATTGGGTTAGCCACCCATGAGCCCAGAATGTCGAATTCGCCATCAGGGGCCGTTTGTACACACCCCGTGGGAAGCCAGCACCTCCTGACACGTTCGCCCTGTGCGGTTCCCCCTCCCACTCGCTGACATTTGCTGGTGCCACGGCCCCGGGTGAGGGGGCCGGCCGGGCTGGCTCACCTCCTGGCTGGCCTGCTGCACAGGACAGCTGTCCGGGGCCAGTGCCAGCTCCCAGGACCCGTCACCTCGCAGTTAGGAGCATGGGCCCGGACACCAGAGGCCTGGGGGCCGCCAGATTCCAGCTCTCTTTCCAGTTCGTACTTTTTAGTGGCTGTGCCTATCTGACTCAGAGGGTTCTGTGAGTGCCACTTAAATGGTTTAAAAATCCACCTCAAAGTGACCTTACTGAGCTCGTGATGAGTGGGGGCGGGGCAGAAGCTAGGCTGTGTGGGTGTCCAGTGAGGCCAAGAATTGTTTCTCTCTGACCCCACCGACCAGAAAAGGGAAGGCCTGACCCGGAACTCTGTGCTCTCCCTCCCGCTCCAGCATGCCCCGAGTCTCGGGTCCGAGAGATTCAGATTATTGTGAATTCCTGTTCTTACTGAACCCAGACTGGGTGAGGAGACCTCAGCACAGCCCCAGGACTTGGTGGTTGTGGGTAAAAAGACCCACCAGCATCTGTTATGGACTGAATTATGTCCTCCCAAAATTCATATGTGGAAGCCCTACCCACCTCGGACCTTAAACAGGAGTGTATTTGGAGATAGGGCCTTAAAAGAAGTAATTGAGTTAAAATGGGGTGATTAGGGTAGGTCCTAATCTAATATGACTGTCCTTGTCAGAAGAGAGTAATTGGACATGGAGGAAGAGAGAGATACCAGGCACCTGCACCGACAGAGGGATGATGCTGAGAGGACGCAGCCAGAAGGTGGCTGTCTGCTAGCCACGGGGAGAGGTCTCAGACACCCAATGGCTGGCACCTTGATCTTGGACTTGTAGCCTCCTGAGCTGTGAGAAAATAGGTTTCTGTTGTTGAGGCCGCCCACTCTGGGGTGTTTTGTCATAGCAGCCCTGGAAAAGTAATACATAATAATTAGACAACCAATTCTGATTCTTCTCCGGCTGCCCGCAGGGACAGCGGAGGGAGGCACGGCCTGGGCCTAGGTGAATAGCCCTGATCCTGGATTCTAAAACCTGTCTTTGACTTCATGACACTGGTGCTAGCAGGGTGAGATTTTGACTAATCCAGCCTAATTCTCAACACATGGACATCAGAGAGACTGTAACGAGGAGAAGCTCACAGGTGTGTGAGGAGAATGTTGCGTAGGGTGATAGCTGAGATATGCTGATAAGCACCAGCTGTCACAAGTGAGGGCAACAAAAATCTGGAAGTTCTGGTTTGCTAAAGGGCCTGGCACCCCGATAAGCTGTTGACTTCCCAGGCTGAAATTTGAAGCCCTTGGCTTTGGTTGCGCAAAGCCTCACGAAAGAGAACCCCTCTTTTCCTTTTGTCTGCACCCCGTTTCTTCAACATTATTACATTATTAAAAGGAGTTTTTAGGGGTGTAGCAGGCAAGTTTAGAGGAATGAAGGGGTCCGTGGAAAAAGCACAGGGCTACAGAGCTGCAGAGGGTACATTTCCATAGAATAAAGGAGCTGGGAGCAGCAGAAAATATACATTTACAGAATAAAAAGAAGGAGCAGTGATCAGACTCTCAAACCTCATAGGGAAAGTAGGGGAAGGTGGGGGAAAGGTGAAGAGATGAATCCAAGGACTTGTGTACATGTATATGGGCCTAGCCAGTGGCCATGGACAACAGTGGGGTGGGGGCATATATAGGGAGGGGTTTGGGATGGGAATAGGGGGATGAGGACAATTATGTGATGCCATAATCAATAAAAAATAAATTTAAAAAAAGAAGGAAGCCCCCCCATTCAGAGAGGGAAGAGGAAATCCCAGAGGGAATAAGAAAACAATAGGGAAAAAGGAGGGAACCTCACGGTACCTCACAGGAGGGTTGAGCTCTGAGGTTGCTATAGTGACCAAATGAGAAGGGATAGTGACCAATCATAGGGGATATCAAGGCACACAGATCTGCAGCCTTTATAAACCGTAGAGAAAGGGACTCAGGATGACTCTTTTCCCCTCCCCACGTGGCACTCTGCTTGTTTCTCAATAAATTTCCACCTTTTACTAGGCCACCTTCTGTCCATGGTCTCATTCTTCAACTCCCCTGAGCAAGAGCCCGGGAGCTATCCTGCCTAGGCGAACACCATGCGTTCCAGCCCATTTTCCTGTGTCATTATCATTGGCAATGCCATTGGAACACAAGTTCAAGGGAAATGACAAAGCAGTACTTCACCTTTTCCCTGTGTCTTTCTAGTTGGGGTCTAGGTTCCTCTTCCTGATTGAATAGGACCTTTTAAGTAACTCGGTTTCCTCTTTTCCGAATGGAATCATTTTTCTTAGGGAATTCAATTTGCTTGACATTTCTGTCTCTGCGTAGTTTCAAAGATGAGGGCAGGGCCTGTGCATGTTTAGTTACTGATAGCTGCTCTTCTCCCTCTCAGCCTTGTCTTAAATTGCGTTAGGACAGGCCCCATGTCCTAGTCTGTCATCGCAAAGCAGTCCTAGGCCGGGCCCTTCAACAGAACATGTTGTCAGACGTGCAGTGTGCCTGAGAACGTGTGGCATCTATGCTATTGAGGCGTGGTACCATCACTGGGACCGCACCCAGGAGCACTGACCTATCACGCCCATCCAAATAGCAGACCCAAATGTTGCCAGGCAGAGTTGTCCTCAGACATTCTGTGTGGCCTTTAAACGAAGCCAAAGAGACAGCAACTTCAAGCAAATTGAATTCCATAAGAGAAATGAATCCATTGGGGAAGAGGGAAATTGAATTTCTTAAATGGTCCTATTCAGTAAGGAAAGAAAGAAGAGTCTACACCTAACTCGATATTCCCTAAACTCCTCTGGCTTTAAGATTTCTCCTCTTTGATGCTGTGAAATAAATGATCTCTAATGTCCCTTCATGCTCTCTCTTTCCCTGGAGCAATGTTTCCCAAATGCCGCTTTGTGGGAAGTTAGTATTTTTGCTGGGGGGGGGGGGGGGGGCGGGGGGGGGGGCTTGCTGGTCAAATAAATTTGGAAAGGGCTTCTGACCTTATTCTTTTAAAGTTCCAGAGCACACATGCATAGTCATGTCTCTGAGAAGACCACAGTTAAGAAACCTGTTTAATGGTGTTTAATCACGCATTTCTCGAGTACTGGTGCCTATGCAGTTTGCAGGTTTTCTTATGTGTTTGCTTTCTGGCTGACAGCAGCTTTCTGGGGCAGGGTTCTGGGGTGCATGGTGGTGTGAAGACTTCTCCAGGCTCCTAAGATGACTGAGCTGCCCATGTGAAGAACACACTTCTCTGATTTGCAAATGACATGGGAGGGGTATCATTGCCATTTGATTAGGAAATAGTTGTGCGTTTTAAATCGTGTTTAAGAGGTTGGTTTCTGGAATCTAATACATTGCCAATCTAATGATCTCTGGCTCAACCAATAAGTCAAATTTGGGGGCCCATGACTAGGAAGGAACTCCTTTATTGGCTAATTGTTCAAAACTTTAGTTTCAATATTGGATTGACCCTTGCACACACACAGCCCCTACACACACACACACACACACACACACACACACACACATACACACACACACACCCCTTCCCTCATGGACCGCCCTGCCTTGGAAAAAGCCAGAAACTGGTGAAAGTTGCTTTTAAACTAGAATTCTGTATCAGCTCCAGAAAATAGCTACAGCACTATGCGTGATTTCTTCTTCCCCCTTTCATTTCCAGTCAGGTCTGAATGATAATCTGAGATTTCAAGAGGGTAGGAAAAACTGGGATCCATTATGTCCAAAATGAAGGCTCTGGGGATAAAAAAAAATTTTTAAAAAATGCGACTGTAAAGACTTCCGTTGCCTCCTTATGGTAAGAATCCCGAGACACGAACAAAAAACACTGGGGCTAAAGCAGGGACTTACTGTCAGGCGAACGCTAAGCATCAGGCGCGATCCAGAGATTTCAATAGATGCAGCAGCCGCCAGCCATGACAGCTCTGCAATGCCAGGCATGTTATCAATGAGTCCTCCAGTCATGCGCCTTCATCTGGCGCCTGGCTCTTCAGCCAAGTCAGGAGGACCTTATCAGGGGCAGAAACTTCCAGGCAATGGCCTGGCCTGGAGGGGGGAGGCCGAGAGCCATGAGTCCGGCTCTCCCCAGAGCCGTTGCAAAATAAACCAAAAAAACCACCCAGACAGGAAGAGAGTAAGCTGGGAATGTTCCGTCACTCAAACTTTCTATCTAAACAATGTGACTGCACAGCCTGTCTGCAAGGAGACTGTGGGAGCTGGGATGTACGTCTTCATTGCAGGAATGCAATGATCGCGCTTAAAACAAGGATGCCCGTTTCCGTCTACCTCTTAGCCAACACCTGCCTCTGATGCTGGAAATGTTTTGTCCTGAGTGTCTTTCCCCATTGAAGCGGGGCCTTTGCAGCATTCCCAGTTTGCAGAAGCTCCAGTGTTCAGAAACAACAGGGAGAAACTTTGGACTGTGGGTGGCAGGCAGGGAATCCAACCCCGCGCCGGGCACTGCTGGCCAGGGGGAAAATGCCTCTTTCCTGAGCCTTTCCGGATGAGGTCATTGTTTGCAAGCAGCCTGGGCCTCGTGAAAAAGAACTCAGCGCCCAGGCCCTGTCTCACACCAGCGTCTTGTCCTGGAACAACATCTGAAGCCACACCGGACACTCAGGGTGGTGGTAAAAGGCAACTCCGTGTTCACAGCATTTTTGTTCAATACCAGTATTTAAATAATAATGATGATAATAATAATAATAATAATTAATAATAATAATAAGCCCATTTGGTGAGATGGTAATGCATTAAACGAAAAGAGCAGGCAGGAGGCATGGGGAAATCCACCCTTTTCTTCCTTTGTCTCATGTGTTTGCGTTATTGTGGGATGACAGCGACCAAAGTCTGGGTCCCCGATTGTGCAGAGTGGAGGAGACTCCGAGGTGCATGCTGATAGCGGCCTCCAGGCCGGACAGCTTCTTACAAGTGTGCCAGCAGCTGCTGAGGTCTTTAGAATCGGGAGGAGTCGGAGCGGGGCAGAGAATAAGGGTTTGTGGGTTCTATACATGACGAAGGAGTTAGCATCATGCAGGAAACTCCTCATTCTTCCTGAGCTACACTGGCACACCCTCTGGGTGGCACACCCCTCGCTGGAGCCCAGCTCAGCCCACAAACTCCCGGGAGCCAAGCCAGGGCCCCACCAGGCCTCTCCCTGGAGGAGCGAACGCCGTCCTTCCGTGTGCCAGCCCCTAGCGAAGAACCTGAGGTCCCAGGCCCGGGAGGCGGCTCAGCTCATGGACCCCGAGCCTGCTGTCGGGGACGACCAAGGTTTGACGGTCCATTTTGTAACTCTCGTATGTCCTGTCTGACCTAGACCGTGTCTTTCCAGATGGGGAGGGATGCAGGGGCTTGTCTCTGGTTAAAATGATTCTTTGCTTATTATAATATGTTAACACTCTCATCTGTGTATGTGCACGATACATATTTGTATGAAATGCATATCTCATATGTCAATGTACTTACAGATGTGAATATAATGGGGATTTAAAGTTGACATGTCTGTTTTGTAGCAGGAGCTGGGCTATGTTAGTTCCATGTAGGCGGCGTGGTTGGTTGGAGCACTTTAAAAAGAGCCTTCGGTGACTGCGGGGAAACCCCTCTGTACCGGTGCTTCTGCTCACCTGCTTTCCTCCCTTCCCCCATTCCCATGCCAGTTCCAGTGCTAACACAGCTCTGCAGGGAATTCTTTCATCCCTCTATGGATGGAGTTTTGTTTCCTTGGGTGGAGCACATGGGTGTTTTGTTTGGTCTTGGATGTGGCCCCTGGAAGGCTTCCCCTACAGTCATCTTTGACAGGCAAGTTCACTCCCTGCGGAGGCTGGCTGGCTGTGGGCACGCCCAGCGCCTCCTGCTGGGATTCCCAGGACCCCGCAGGCAACACCGGGCCTCAGAGGCAGCCCAATGCCATCCTGCTGGCTGTCCCATCACAGCCAGCACGCTGTGTAGCCAGCACGCTGTGTAGATTCGTGCTGTTTCTTTATTTTTATTTTATTTTTTTTAATATATTTTTATTGATTTCTTACAGAGAGGAAGGGAGAGAGATAGAGACCTAGAAACATCGATGAGAGAGAAACATCGACCAGCTGCCTCTTGCACACCCCCACCGGGGATGTGCCCGCAACCAAGGTACATGCCCTTGACCGGAATCCAACCTGGGACCTTTCAATCCGCAGACCGACACTCTACCACTGAGCCAAACCGGTTTCGGCCGTGCTGTTTCTTTAGATACGAAGCCCCTTGAGAGAAGAGTTGGTAACTTACTGTGGTGTCTGCGAAGGAAGCCGGTGGGTAATTCCACGTGAGGCAGACGGGCCTTGTGCCCTCCCGCCTTCTCTTCCCAGTGCCTGCTCCTCTCGGTTCGCCAGGACGGAGCCCAGCTCAGCCTTCCCACCGGGACTGGTAGGGCTGGAGCCCGAGTTCTCGCGCGGCACATGCACACACATGTTGAGAGGCACAGGAACTGGGGTTGGCACACTCTGCAGCTGATGAATAATTCATGGTGGCTTCTCGTGCCATAAAATTTTCTCCTGAAATGGAAATTATTTTAAAAGAGGACGCAGATTGGGAAATCTAGAAAGGTGCTTTCGTATTTATTGATCTGCCTCCGCCATGTACCGGCAAGACAAAGGTTGACAAACAGCAGCATCGTAAAATCTAAAGCTGACAGCAGGCCCTGTGTGGGCAGAGAGTCGAGAACTCCGCCCCGACTTATCCCTCCCCTGCCTTTCCAGGTGTAACAGCTCCTGACAGTCACTAAGGCCTCCGGCTCCTGGCCATCTCCGGGCTGTCCTGGGAGACAGGCTCTGAATTGTGATGGCAGCCCAGTGCATGTTAGTTAGCAGTAATGTATTACTTACTGGGAGTTTGAGCTTGGAAACTGTGATTCAAGGGCTTTTTCTAACTGAAGGAGGTCTTAGAGATAAAATTAGAATATCTAACGACGTCTGTATGTCTATTTGAATAAATTTGAACCTTCTGTTTTCCTTATACTATAAAAAGAATGGGTTTTAGTTTTCATTTCTAGGAAAGATAGGGCAGGTTTTGGAAAACCCTACGTGGCAGAGAGATTATAAGTAAGCAGAGTAAGTCATACATCTATCTATATCTATATCTATATCTATCTTCCTTTCTATCCATCCATCTATGCATCTATACATCTATACACCTATACACCTATATACGTATCTATCTCTATATCTATCATCTATAATCTCTATCTCTATATCTATATCTAATATCTATGTCTATATTATCTATATCTATCTATGTCTATAGAGAGAGAGATCAAAGTGGAAAGACAAGAAATTTTATTTCTTTTCTCTGCCTTTTTCCCCTCCATGGACTATAGTTAAGGCATTGGAAACCTTTGCATTGCTGCCAGCTGGAACCCACGGGAAGTGCATCCTGGAACACTCCCCAGCTGACTTGAATCTTGGTCGTAATGAAATTGGAAGTTGGCAAATTGTCCAGGCACACCTTATGTTTGAAACACACAGGTTTAAAACAATGCTTTGCATTGTTTCAAAGGTACTCGCCATAGGGAATATTGACAAAGTATTTTATTTACCTCTTTTTAATAGATGGATATTTTGAAAGGGTGTATAATGAATAAGTTTGCCCTCTTTAACGAGAGCCCATCCTCCGGTCCCTCTCCGGCCGCGCCTTGAAGGCTTGAGCTGGTTAGTTAGATGGCAGTTGGTGTCAGACTTAGACTCAGAGATCAACTACCTTCTGCTCTAAGGGACATGCTTAGAGCAAGTCTTTACATACCTTTCATTAGGGCATGTGAGATACCAGCCCTCTATTTTATAGTAAAATCCAACTGCTGACATGTACCTCTCCATCACTGACATACTTTAAAGGTTGGAGTGGTGGGTAGGGTATTCATTCAGACTATGGGAATTTAACAAAACATATCTCTAAAAGCCATTCATTTCCAAAAAGGGGGAGGGGGGAGAGGGAGTGCAATGTGCTGATGAGCACTCTGTAGGTTTCATGTGACAGAGAGGAAGGCTGGACAGGTTTTTCTGCTTTAGCAGCAGTTACAGCTCCCACTGCAAATGAGCTCTGCCAAGGTCAGTGCCCAGTGGGTCAATTAGAGCATGGCATGGCGGGGACATGCCTGAGGACCACTGAGCATCGCGTTTGCATAAACCAGTTCACAACAGAACAGGCCTTGCCCCACCCGTGGTTGAGCGCCGACCTATGAACCAGGAGGTCACGGTTCAATTCCTGGTCAGAGCACAAGCCCGGGTTGCAGACTCCATCCCCAGTAGGAGGTGTGCAGGAGGCAGCCTGTCAATGATTCTCTTTCATCCTTGATGTTTCCATGCCTCCTCCCTCTCCCTCTCTGAAATCAATAAAATATATATTATTTTTAAAAAAGAACAGGCCTTGAGAGTGCCTGTTGAGTCTCCCTGCCCCACAGCCAGCATTCACAGGTCCCCACACCAGGATTCCTTGAAGATCTTAAGGGAATAGAAACTCCCCAGGCCCAGAATTACTCCCCTTTCTGATGGAATGGGAACCATGCCTCGTGCTGACCTGTACATTGATGTGGTTTAGAGTTAGAAGGTGAAGTGGCTGCTCACTGCTCATGGAAAAATGTCACCCTGAGCATCATACTATGTGATGGGAAGCACGTCGAATAAGTAGAACTATAATTGCTAATATAAGGGGATGTATGTTCCCCTTATATGATAAGATGGTACTATTTAATACGAAACACACCCCATTGACTATTTTTAAATGGTTTAAGTGTTTTATTCTCCCTATTTTTCATATAGAAGGTGTTTCTGGCTATGTGAACACTCAAGTTGCAAATTCAGGTTCCTGACTTTAATTAGCCATTTTACCTGGCCTCACCCATGTCTTTATTATTATTATTATTATTCATTATTACTGTTATTGCTTTAAAGGCACTCTCACTGCAGTAGTCTGCCTCTAATTGGTAGCTTCACCAGGGAGGGAGCACCGATGTGTCAGGGAGCCCTCCTTGACTTGGCATGGGAGCAGCTCGTTAGCATTCTGTCTGTCGTTAGCTTACTAAGCATCTTTCAGCAGGTGGCAGGCATTGAGCTAGGTGGTGTTCAGAATGAATCTCTGTCATTTAGAATCTATAGCCTTGGAAGGAATCCCTGGCACGTATGTGCCAATGATGTGCTGGGCTCGCCAACGTGGGAAATTAGTAAGGACTGGGCAGGGTGAAGAGCGCAAGGCTGGGAACACAAGATGGAAGAGGCTGTGGTCATCTCAGCAGGTTGGGATGCTGGCGGGGAAGACGAAGACCTGGTGCTCCTTGGGATAGAGATGACCCCACTGGCTTCATGGGACACACTCTGACCACAGGTCACTTTGTACCATGGCTCCATCATGAAGGGAGGGGGCCTCTGCTCCCCAGGACCCCTCTCTGCCCCTCCTCACTGCCAGAGCCACGGGGATTGGGATGTAATTTCCCCTTGCTAAGATGACGACTCTGGTGAATTTCAAAGTTATCTTCTTCCTTTGAATACTTTTGGGCTTGCAAAGGAAAGCATGTTCTTTCTGAACACAATGCCACACTCTTGAGTTCTAGAGACAAAGAGGTTTGGCGCATATCTCAGCTTTGATACCTACTAGCTGTGTAACCTTGGGCAAGTGCCTTAACTTTCCCAAGCCTCATCTATAAAATTGAGCTTGACCCCAAGTCTGCTTTATGCGCTTGGGAGGATTAAGTGAGGTTGTCTAAAACCCGTAGCACAGTGCCTCGCCAGTGGTAATGAGTGGTTTATATAATTAGCAATTATAGCTCTACCTAGGAAATCCAGACGCTTCCCAATTATTTATATGATTGCGTAGTACTTTGGAGTCCAAAGCCTTGACTCTACTTCAGTTATTTCATTTTAATATGTATATTTTATGTTGCTTACTTTTTATTATACAAATTGTGGCAGAATAAACTTTTATTATAGAATTTTCAAACACAATAGGAAAGGCAAAAAGTTCTCCTCGACCACCTTTCAAATGGAGGGAGTAGCGACTATTATTGGTTTTAGCTATTCGTTTCTTTTTCATCAATGTAATGCATGTTCCTAGTTTTAA